TAAATATATATATATATATATATATATATATATATATATTATATATAGTGCCCTAAATAGAATATAGTCTTATTATTTTTTTATATTAATTATGTTACACGACATTCAAGTGATAACGTTATGAATCACGTTATTCTTTTGCTGGTCAGTGTGCTAATAGGTGTAATATTAGGATTAACACTTTTAATTGAATTAACGCTTGTTTATATTTTTTGCTAATTGTACTCTACTTCATATTGTCCACTAGTCTTAAAAACGGGTGAAACCAATCAACTATCATAAACAAATCAACTAGTGTATTTAATCTTATATATGCCTACTGTTAATTGTTTGGTGTTTTAATTTTTTAATTAGGAAAGCAAAAATTATCAATGAATAGGCCCTATTTACTATGCTGTAACATATTTTATAAAGCATCTTATAACGAAACAAATGACAGTAATTTTAAAAAGAAACATGATAAAAGAATTAGTTTTCTTTCTATATAAAGTATTTACTTTACTTTATATATCCAGATATATCATAACCAAACGGTTCCTAAAAAAAAGCTGTTCCTCAAAATACAGTAATCCTGAAAACATGGAGGTATACTGAAACAAACGAATGTAGGTAAGAATGGCCCCGGAAAAATGGCCCAGGAAAAAATGGCCCCGGAAAAAATGGCCCCAAATGACAAATAGGTAAAAATGGCCCCAATGAAAAAATCAGTAATAGAAATGATATTTTTTTTTAAATCTTCAAATATTTAAATAATGTAATAAGCAAGAATTTAATCAATAACAAATACAGTTACACAGCAGATGTAAATAATGTACTGAGAGATTATCAGAAAACAACGGCCATTGAACATTTTTTGATAGTTGAAATAAGTTTTAAAAACGTTATTCCATTAACAAAGTAGAGGAATGACATACATACAGTACTTCAACTACCAAAATATGCAACTCATAGGCCTAGATAACCACAAAATTCACTTTTGTTAAGTATCAAATGAAATAACTTTACATGTTATAAACAGTGCAAATAAACAGTACGGTATAGTTAAAGCATGGACCTATTAATAAGATTATTAGGTCCATGGTTAAAGCATGTGGATCAATTGTGTGTTTGAGTGACAAGTTCATGTATGGGAAAAGGGAGGCTTACTTTACTTCAACAAACGTTCTGCTTAGAGTTACTTCAAAGAAGTATTTTTAATCAAATATTGTTTTGAAAGTAAACTAAATAATTAGGAATACATTTATTTAAGCAACTTATTTAATTGCATACTTGGTTTCTACTCGCCGCCAAGTAAATTTAAGTGCCTAAAACTATACTAAATAATGTAAACTGAGATACTATATTATATACATAGTTATGTAAATATGGCAATTATGCTAAGAATTAAAATGGCGTGTAATTGTGAGGGTAAATAAAGTAATTATGGATTTTTCTCAGAAGACTGAGCTATGCAAATGAAGTCACTGAACCATTGTTGAGGAGATAAAGGGTCGCCTAATATATGTGAGGTTTAATGATCATCAGCATGTCGCTGTGTTGTGTCCACCCTTGGTAAATAAAGTTGAATAAAAAATAAATAAAATAAAAATACATACCAAAAATGACTTAATAACACTACACTAGTATACATTAGACAATGTTCGCGATAATTTCTTCAGTTTGAATAACGAATGATTTCAATACCCGTTTGTTATTGTTAGATTTTATATAGATAGGCCTATAATTCTGCTCATTGTTATTGAAATGAGTACGGTAACTCGGCAGCGTTTTACTCTCGAACCATGTTAGTGCCAACCACTTGCAGCAACAGGGAGGTATCAAAATAATACCTCTGCCACACTCTATTACGGGCTATTATCTAATTTACAGATTTAAATCATTGCAATGGAAAAGGACAAAGTAAGTAACTTCGCTTCGTTTGATAATACAATAGAACCCCTAATGGGGACACCTTTGGCACCAAAAAACGTGTCTACTTAATAGGGGTGTCCCCTTAATAGGGGTGTCCCCTGAATAGGGGTACCCCTATTCAGAGGACACTAACCAAAAACATAAAATTGTCCCCTTAGTAGGGGTTTTGGCATGTTTTCATATAACGATGACATACATTCTTTATAATTTTACTTTTATTTTACGCTTATTAAAAAAAATTGGCGTGGCGTTTTTCATGCCCTTTCCCATGTTTTACCTATTTCACGTAGGCCTATTCCCGTAGTTTAGTAGGCCTATCATAGGTCCTATCATCGTAAACAAACGTTTATAAAGAAATGCTTGTGTCTTCCTTGTGTTATTTATTTATTTTAACAGTGTATACATTGTATTTTAAACCCAGTTTCATTACACACGGTAATATTATATACTCTCGATTAAGCGCCGCGGCGTTTGACGAAAAAAAAAATCACGTTTGGTGTGGCGCTTATTCGAGAGCGGCGTTTATTCGAGCATTTACGGTAAGGATCAGTTACAGTAGAATAAGAATAAATTTAGAGCAATAGTTTGCAATGCAATTCATTTATAATATGAAATCAGTGGAAATGTAATTAAAACAACAATAGTTTTATGTGTTTCATTATGCAATGTTAATGACTAATAATGTTCTTTTTCCTTTTAAATATTGAGCTTTTTTCTGTTAGATGGATGTAGCATGAATAGAGTAAAATGTTTTGATATGGGTTAATATCCTATATGAAATACACGAAGAACAAAGAAAAAGAAATCCCCATTAGTCAAAAGGTCAAAATCGACAAGATTGGTTTACAAAGTAACACATGCAATTGGCCTATGTACTGATATTCACTCATGGATTAAAATTCTGGTTTACTGCTCAAAAGGTGTCAAAATGTAAAGTTAAATGTATATTTCTTATTTTTAGAGTGCTGTAGATGCTTTGATACAATGAAAAGTGTCCACTTAATAGGGGTTATTAAGAGAATAATGGAAAACATCATGAATCATTATTATATAGGCTATCTTATCAAAAATATAGGTGACAGAGAGCAAATAAGTGATACTTATAAAACTGTATATATATATATATATATATATATATATATATATATTTAACAACATTATAAAAAAATAACCATAGTTATTGCAGACATAATATATAAATATTAAGAATATTAAAATACACGTTGTGTTTGTATTAGGCACGACTTCTTGCCGACAATGGAGTGTATGCCTACGAAATGCTCCCTGTTACAGATGTGACTGTAGTGAGAATAAAGCCAAGGAACTTCCTGGGAATGGCTATCTATGTGACACTCTGCTGCTGTTTGCCTTGTGGAGTCATCGGACTTGTTTACAGTATTGATGTAAGTTAAACCAGTTAAAAATTATCCAACAAATAGTGTACAGAATATCTACGTATTAGACCAACCCACGAAGAATATTTCAATTTTCTCAGAAACTAACAAAATGTCCCGACGTGTGGGTTTGTATGTGATGGTTTTAGTTTGTACCATTATTTTGTCAACGCTCTTATGGTCTGTCCTTAATGAGCCAACGCACAAATACACTAGTTTTAGAAATACACTATTTAATTTTTTTTTATTAAGCACTATTAATACATCATTACAAAACTATACGAAATACATTTAATACAAAAATATATAAAGTTCGTCCCTTTCAAATTCAAGATTAGCTTGATTGTTTGATTACAATTATAAGCACTAATTATTAATTGATGTTTATTAGACATATATTTTCAATATTTTTTTTAGAGTTCAAGTAGGTTTGACCGTGGAGATTATGCCGGAGCTGTGTCTGCCGCTAGCAAAGCAAAAGAATGGTCGATTCGTGGTTTGGTGTTTGGCATCATGTCTATTGTCCTTATCACTGCCTGTTTAATTTTAATGTCCATTTGGATTTGGTACATTTATTCTCTGGAATGTGATGAAGAACTGTCCTATTATACGCTCCCTTATGATCTCGATTAGCATGCGACAACAATTATACCCGTAAGCTAGATACAACACTCTAATGAAGTCTAAAGACTTTAAAATAATGTTAAACATTGACAATTACACTATTTGCATATTGTAAGGAATTAAAGATGCCTTCGGCCTGCGTATAATAATTTAATATTTTTCTGTGATTTAGTCTTAAGTTTATCTTACCCCGTAGACCTAGATACAACACTCTAAGTTTAAAGACTCTAAAATTGTACTATTAAACATAATGAAGAAGCGAGCGAGAATTCTTAAATTAAAATGCAGAATTTGCATATTGTAAGAAATTGAACATGTCTTAGGCTTACGTATATTTATATACAAAATTTAATAGTAATAATATTCTATATTATAATCAGTTTGTATGATTTAGTAGAAAAGTCCATGGCCTTCGTCGAAAGGTTTTTTGGTCTATACGACTGATAGAATCCGATTTATTTTAAAAACTTCAAATTAAATTATTAACAGTATCAATCGATAGACTGATTTGGTGTCCCTTAATGTTGTCTTGTACTATACGTACTACAAATATATTTCATTTCATATATTAGAATTCCATTTCCCAAAAATATTGTATTTAATGGATTTCCATAAAAAAATTTTTATTCGGGTTTTTTTTTAGCCAATGAGTGTCTCCTTAAATACTGCAAAAGCTTGCAACACAAACACACAGGCCTCTGCCATAATATATACATATACATATATGAAACGGTAAAGAAGAGGAATCTGCGAGTGCCTCTTATACACATCTTATATATATATACAATTTTATATGGTAAAGAAGAGGAATCTGCGAGTACGAAACAAAATTCTCAACCGGGATTCGAACCGGGACCATCCGCTGTCTATGTAGACGCCTTCTGGAGGAGGAGGTGGAAGAGGAGGATTATATTTGCTTATAACAGTACTTTCTTTATCTAGCTTCAGTCACTATTAGAAAAAAAAAATCTTCATCAAAATATTCGAAATCATATGAATGAATGGCATCAAGAACCATGCGATGGCATCACGAACCCTGCAATTTGAGTACAATTGGTTATAACATCATCATCATCATCATCATCATCATCATCAATTCTTTATTACTTTTGATAACTGATTTAAAAAAGGAAATTGCTGAGTTTTGTGTAGACATTAATTAATTGTCCTTGCCCATAATTTCTATTTGCCCTGTTTATGAAAATATTGGCCTGTTTTCTAATACTATAATTAGTGGCGGATCCAAGGGGGGTTCAAAGGGTTCGAACGAACCCCCTCTGTGAAGAAACGTAACAAAATACTATAGGTCCTGGCTTACAAAAGGCATGTTAACCTACCTAGGCATAGGTTGGCAGATCACACAAATTAGGCGCCGGCTTAGCTCAACTAGCCTTCAATTAAATAAATTTAACAAACACTGTTGGTTCAATATCGTAATAATTTTTGTACGAAAGAGTGCGTTCTTCAGGCCTATCGATCCATGGAGGAAATACTACGTATCCAACTACTCAATATTGTTGGAATATAATAATAATATATTACCATACTTGTCAACCTTGAGAAATTAAAAAAGTGATGGTCGGGTTACAGATGATGAGTGCCGAAGGCACGAACAGTGGGGGGGGGGGGGGGGGGGGGGGGGGGGGGGGTCGCCAAGGGCTCCCGGTCGGGGTCGCTTTGGCTTAAATGGCATATCTAATCGATATTAGTGAGTTTATAATGATCTCAGATACAATAGTTATTGAAACATGGAGGTAGAATGTTATATGTTATGATTATGGATGTTAGTTATAGTAAAATTCATTACAAATTGAAAAAAAAAATTTACTCAATTTTTAGGAAAAGCGTAAGTTTTGTCGGTGTCGGTTTGCGTAAGACCGTAAGATTTTATTGGAATGCGTATACGGCGAATGCGTACGGGTTAGCAGGTCTGTATTGCATTATGTGCGCTATATAAAACTACACTAATATTATTATATTATTATTATTATTATTATTATTATTATTATTATTATTATTATTATTATTATTATTATTAT